TAAGCTAACAGTATTATATTAGCTCAAATATGGATCAAAGCTTTGGTTCTGTTGTATATTTAAATGAGCTAGAGCTTGGGGCTACATACAGCAAAATGCAATTAAAAAAACACTATTTCAGGGCTACTTTACAAATTCAGGTTATTAAAGAGGATGTTTTCTAAGCTGCTAATTTAGTGAGGTGGATAACATATATATCAGAGATTGGATAACTGCTTCCCTTAGGGTGTTATTGCACCTTATATATAGTAAACACCTTCAAATGTTAGGTGACTGGGTGGGTGATTTCATTTTTTTCCCTATTGCAGTTCCAAGTCCAGGTGGTTTATTTTGAAGATATTTCAGTACTTCAACTGTAGAAGGAAATTATATAATTTTCTCTATATGGAGAATAACAACCAAATTTACCAATTTAGGAACTGTTTCAGGAATTGTTGGAAGGTGAGTTATTCTATAGTAACTACACTTTGGTTGCCATGCAGTACGCCCAGAAATCACCCACTTCAACTTCTAAACATTTGGCTTGGAACACTTGTTCCATGAATAGTCAGTTAGATGCTTGGATACAAGCTCTTGCCAGAAGTCAGATCTCTGCCACGTATCTTGGAATGTTCCTGAAGACATTCTACTTCTTCTGTGAACTCCACCCACTTCTGCACTTGGATCTCCAATGCAATGACAGATATGGCCAACACACAAGGCTTTGCTTTAGAAAATATGACCCTGCAGTCACATGGCTTTAGCTGAGCTTCTAGTCTTTCAATATTTAGGCTGTTTTTCCTTTTAAATGGCAAGTTCTCTTGAAGGAGTGAGTAACAGAGTTGCAGAAATTGAAAGGCAGTGGCCCCTTTGACTTTCCAACATACCTTCTGCAATATCATCTTTTCCATTCTCATCCGGTCTGAAACTGTGAACCTGTACTGACTGATTGGGATCAAGTCAGTTGCCAAGGTGATATTTCTTTCCTCTTCTGTTGATTTTATAGCCGAAGAAAAGCAGTTCAGTCCATCACATTCAAGTGCTTGGGCTGAACCTTCATTTCAGACAGGAATCTTCCCAGTGCATTCACAGCTAGGGAAGATATCTCCTTATCAAAGCCAAAGAACTGCGTTAGACTAAGAAGATCTTTTACTTCCAAGTCCCTTAGTCTTGCAGTCATTCCAAGGCCATTATCTTGTGCAGATTCTATTAGACTGAAGCCGCAGACCTCTGACTGACATTGTAGCAGCAGATGGGCTGATTTCCACAGAAGACCGAAGGATTCAATTTTAGGGAAAATGAGAGTTTATTGAATTTAGACCAGGTACCGCACATCCCAGACTGGCAGGTCGGGAACGTGGGCGGCTGACCTTTCTTTGTTTCAACTTTAAATACACCTCTGGTTTCTATGGTAACAGATTGTATTGTTGCAGCCGTTGACGCAGGTGGCCACACATTGTCTTCCTTGTGCCTCGTGACCAGGTCAGGCCCCGGTCATGAATCCAACCACAATGACATATACTTTCTGCACTCTGTTCTGTATGTCCCCCTTTAGATAACCATACATTTCCTTTATGGTCACAATGTTTATCTAGGGCCAAGGAAGGGATGAAACAACTCAGGCAGGGTCATAGGTGGTTATCTGGGTCCGGGTGTTCTTTATCTTTGGAGAAACATTCCAGGGAAAAATTAATGCGAAGTTAACTTTTTACAGCCCCTCTGGGATATTTCTGAAGACACATTTTGAGGCTTGTACTAAGACCTAAATTATTCTATCTTAAAAATGATATGCTAAGAGTTGCTGTCCCTACAGCATCTTGCCTCCTGCCCCACAGGGTGTTCAGCTGGTGTAGCAGTGTCTGGTAATTAGCTGTCAGTACTTCTACCATCTTGGCAGAGACTGCGGATCCTTGGCAAGACCACCCTGCTGGGCCTCTTCTGACTCCCATCCCCCACAACATGGAAACAGGAGTCCCAGGATGCAAGGACACTCTGGGGCAGAGGAGAGGGCTGGGGAGGGAAACTGTCGCAGGTGGAGGTCTCCTCAGCACTGTGAGACTACACTGTCCTCTTCCTGGTCAGACCAAAGTGAAG